TGGCAGAGACGCTAACTCCCCGCCTTGTTTAGAAACAACCGTCAGAGACGCGAACCCGTGTTGTTCGAGGTGGAATTCTGATCCCCTGGGCTGCCTGGGCACCTCCGGGGTATCGCTCAAGATGCTCAGGGCAGGAGGAGATGAAGAAGTGTAGATCGCATTACAGAATCGTCGGGGACAAGTGCAGCCCAGGGGATACAGTCAGTAATACTGTACCAACTTCGCGTAGAGCCAGGGGGGTACTGGGTATATCGGGGGAACACTTTGTGAAGTATATACAAAATCACACTGAATGTAAACTGTAACTTAAAAAAAAATGTGGGCACCTCTGTGGGACGTGGGAAAGGACAGGAAGAGGCTCTCGGCCTGGGGACAGGCGGTGTGCCGAGAGAGAGTGATGCAGGGATGATGTGGGGGTGCAATTCCTGGGGGTTACAGGCGCCCACAGGAGCAGGAGGGACGGTGTGGGCAGCGCCGGGAAAGACGCAGAGAAGAGGGACCGGCCAACTCGGCTGCCGGCACAACTGTCTCCTCTCCCACTGGCTCCCCAAAGCGAGACGGTGGGAAAACCACACTAGCAGCTTGGCTGAGTCCTGCTGTGCGCTGAGCGCTCTCAGGTGTTACTGAACCCTCAGAACAACCCCGGGAGGGGTAAGGAGAATTATTTTCCCATTTTGCAGATGAGAAGACTGAGGCGCAGAGAGACTGTGTAATACGCGCAAGAGGCAGGACAGGATCCTGGGCTGCATGACTCAAGACTCTTCTTCTTCTCCACCAAGCACGAGGGACATGCCTCCAGGCCACGCGGGAAGGCCAGGAGAATTAAGTGGAATGGAGCAGACGGTGGGTAGAAAAATGGCATAAGACCCTCGAATGCCCATTACCATCCCGGCTGCTGTTGGCCTCCTGAAACAGTTGGCGTCCAGCTTCTGTGCCCAATACAACAGCAAAGGAAGAACACCTCCGTCCCTGGTGACTGCCACGGTTACAGACACACTCGTGCTCAAGTCAACTAACAAGGCCCATCACTTCCCACCGTCACGCGTGGGCTTCGGAGCAAGGATGGTGGCATGTACTGCGGAGAACAGGGAGGGTGGGTGGGGGTCGTTACTAGCACCTTTCAATGGAGACTCTCCAGAAACCAGGGTGATGTGGGAGGAGACAGATCCATCTCTCTCTCGTGGTTAGAAGCGCTGGAGGCTTTGTGACGCGGTGGTCCCGGCCGGAATGTGGCCCACCTCCCCGCGTCTGTCTCCGGTAGCAACACCACACTTCCTCTGAGCTGACACTGCACACTCACCCCCGCCTCACCTGGCAGAATGTCTGCACTGCCCAGCACAGTCTCCCGAGAGGGTGACTCCGCTCTGCAGCGACTGCTGACCAAGACAGGAGGAACATGTAGTCATAAAAAAAAAAAAGATGGATTGGGCTAATTGCATAAAGTTCATTTCCCCTTTCTAATAAATATTTACTACCCACTGTTTATACCGTTCAGGTTTGGACTTTCTTGAAACGCTTTATTGAATTAAAAACACCACATTACCATTGGCTGCAAGAGGAGACAGCCCGATTTGCCAACAACTCCTGCAGCAGATGCCAGCTGCCCGTCGCCAATGTTTTTTGGTTCTGATTTCCACGGGCAGCTCTGAGCCTTACAACACCAGCATTCTGCAGGCTAGGGGGACGCGGCGGTGGTGGCGTGGGCTCTCAGGGCCCTAGGAACGGGAAGGGACTGTATTCTGACTTTTCTTGGTTCCCTGGTCTGCAGCCGTGCGGTTCCTACTTCGAGTAAGATTCCCAACGTTATTGACCCTGTACCTTCCGAGCGAGGGAACGGCTTGTCATTTAGGCTCCCAATGGCGTGTGCCAGAAGAAAAATGTACACGGGGGTCCAGTGGAAGGAGGTGCTGTATTCGAGGTCCCACCTAACGAAGAGTGATAACATGCACACCGGCGCCTGCCGCAGGGGACAGCACCTGGCCTTCTGCTAGGGGACATCGGGGGGAGACGCTGAGCACCTTCTCAGGGTACTGTCAGTGCATAATGACAAAGTCCATACGAGTACCAAGGAAATAACGAAATTCAAGTATAATTCAAAACACAAAAATAACTACAAATGCCTAATGCACTCATAAGTGTTTCTTGGCTACCACGTGACATAACGAGATCTGGCCCCACGTCTAGTAAGGACTGATTTTGAAGTGGGGGGGGGGGGTGAGTGACATTTGGAGATATTGATCACAACTGTCATGCAATATGAAAAAAAAATCAGGGGTCCCCAATCACAGATGCGGTGATGTGACTGTGGCTGATGCCGACATTCATGACGGAAGGACATGCTCATGTCAGTTACAGCTTAGAGAAGAATAAAGATGCGATGTCTTTCCTACTCCTGCTCACAAATCCTCCAAACCCACAAAGACGCGTCCCCGGGAAAGGTGACGCCCTGAGACGCTGTGCCCCGACCGTCCACCGCTCACAAGGGGCAGCAGCAAAAGCTAAATTCTGCCCACCAGCAGCCATGCTGGTTAGTCTTCCTCAAAACACAGCCTAACCGGTTTCTTTTCCTCTTAGCGTTTATCATTTGCATTTCAGGAAAAGAAATGGTTCAGCTCCTCAGGACGTGTGTGTTTCGCGGTCTTATTCCTTTGGCGGTGTCCAAGCTCTGTTCTAGCTCATTACTATTTTCTGTTCCGTAATCGGCTTAAAGGTCTAGGAAATGTTAAGACAAAAGGTTCGGACATGCTCCACCGGCCTCATTAAGGTTCAGGTGCCACCCTGACAGCTCCGCGGAGCAAGGCCGGCCAAGCGCCTGGCCGGTGACATTCTCAGCACAGCCTCGGGGAGCCCAGGATTTGGGAACACGCATGACGTTCCTAATTACCAGGCCGGAGAGGGGTTTGTAAGAAATTCCTCCAGACTCTTGGAGTTGTAATGCCTTCACATTATCCATTCCCCTCAACCTCCTGGCTAGGAGTGTTTTGCTTTCTTTTTAATGGCATCTAGTGGGCAGTATCTTTTTTTTTTTTTTTCTCTTCCTATTAAAGGCCCTGCAAGGGAGCTGGGGCATTTGGTGGAGCACCTGATATCACGGTTCTCTGAGACAACGAGAGACATCACAAAGCGTCATGTCACTGGTGTGATTACTGATGTGGAGAATGGGACAGGGCTGTTGATTTAGAGACACGGATGGTCATGGGGCCCCAAGGGAGCCAACATCTAGATAGAATATGTCAAGACCCTGAACGAATGTAAGTTGTATCGCTTTCTTAGTGACACAGACTATAAATGACTAATACGCATTTTCAACCCATCCTTCCATGGGCTTAAGGGGTCACAGGGGTAACAATGTATTTCCTTTGTTGACTTACGAGCTGTAACTCTGTTGCATTATTTACTGGTTGGTTTACTGTTATTATCCATCTTTCACTGTCTTCATGTGAAATGAAGAGGAAGGATATGCCAATTTTCCTTTAGCCCTGGGAAAACTCACAGAAAAGGCAGACAGGAAAACACTGTGTGGTTCTGGTGAGCTGTAGGAATAAGGGTTCAGCTCCATTGTAACTTATAAAACAGGAAGATCTCCATTTATATATACATTTGTATTTTCAGCTTATATATTTGCTAGCTGGGCTGGTCATTAGTGTTGACTTCTCATTGTCCCCGCCAAACAAAAAGATACGAATGAAGGAAAATAAAATACCAGGTCACCTTCCTGCCCTTTGGGGTCTCTTTTGGGAAGACTGTCCCCCCTGGTGACAGACATGCTGGGCCGTGGTCTCCAGACCACCCCTTTCTGGCTGGGTGACCTGACTTGTTACCTAACTTCCCTTAGCCTCTCTTTTCTCATCTGTTAAGTGGGGTTTGAAGCTCCATCTCGAGGGCTGCAGTCACGGTTCCCTGTGACGGCCCAGGGACCGTGAGCCCCTCCAGCCTGTGTGGCCCCCTGACTCTATTTCTCCACGCCCAGCTGGTGCACAGTCACCTGGCCTCCAGAGACAGGATGGCCGCAGCTCTCAGGATCGAGGCAGTCTCTGCCCAGCCCCCACCCGACCAATCCTGCTCCTCAATCCTGCTCCTGTAGTCAGCTCAGCTGGGCCTGCAACATCCCACCAGCCCTGGGACGGTGGCACCGTGGGCAGAGCGGCCCCCAAAGAAGGATGGGTTAGTTTTCTTTTCCCTAGCGTCTTAAAATTTTCATGTTAAGACATTAGGCTATGAAAAGAGAAAGAAAGAAATACCTTTAGATTAAAAAACAACAACAACAAGCCCTGGTCGGTTTGGCTCAGCAGTTAGAGCATCGGCCCTCGGAGTAAAGGGTCACAGGTTTGATTCCCAGTCAAGGGCATTTACCTGGGTTGCAGGTTCGATCCCTGGCCCCAGTTAGGGTTATGCAGGAGGCAACCAATTGATGTATCTCTCTCCTATTGATGTTTCTCTCCTCCTCCTCCCTCCACTCCACTGTATCTAAAAATCAATGAAAAATATCCTTGGGTAAGGATTAACGAAACAAAACAAGTATTAGTGTCGGTAGTAATTCTGAAACATCACGCTGCCTATGAGTGTGCAAGTGTGTGTGACTGTGTGTGTGTATGTGTGCCTGTGTGTATGAGAGTGCACACAAGTATGTATATGTGTGCATGTGTGTGTGTGAATGTATGTGTGTGTGTGTGCATGCAGCCCTCTATGCATGCACTGTGCAAATTTCCCTGGCAGTGGATGTATATGCATGTCTGTGTGTGTGTCTGTGCATATACATGTGTGTGTGCGTGCGTGTGTGTGAATGTATGTGTGTGTGTATATGCAGCCCTCTATGCATGCACTGTGCAAATTTCCCTGGCAGTGGATGATATGCACATGTGTGTGTGTGTCTGTGCATATACACGTGTGTGTGCACATGTGTGTGTGTGTGCACATGTGTGTGGAGTGTGAATACCTGTGCTCGCCAGCAGAAGCCAGACGCTCCTTCCTGAGCCACCCCCCCGCCCGGGGCCACTTACCTCCATGTTTCTGCAGAAGGTGGCATTGGTGCCAAACAGGATCTGGCATTGCTCGTTGGCGCTGTAGTGCATGCCAGGCAGCTTGTGAGGCAGGCGCACCGCGTGCTGGCTCCTGGGGTCCGTGACCAGCAAACAGGTGCTGACTTTCGACCTGAAACAGCCAAGAGGCAAGTCGACTTGCAAACACACTGCTCGGGGTTTGCTCTGAGTTTCGGTCACCAAGAAGGGTGCACCTCCACATTACATGGGGAGACAACCAGGCGGCAAACACAGACTCCCTCCTTTGCCACGTGGCTGGGGGGCATCCTGACTGAAAGGCAGCGAGGGGTTGGCAACTAGGAAAGACCTGGGAAGAACACCCAGGAGGCTCATGTACTTTCCTGGGGAGTCTGAGCATGTTCTTGGATGAAAGTGCTTTTGAAACAGATCCCTCTGATATTTCCTTACGCTGTGGCTTTGAGCAAAAGTTACCACAAAGAAAAGAAAATTTTCTTCATTAGGAGCCAGGGTTGTTTTGCTTTATTTTAAATAAAAACAAAGCGCTTGTTTCCAAGTCTGCAGATGCTCTTGGAGGGCTTGGAGGGCTGTGGCAACTGGCCGGCCCGGGGGTCCCACCTGATGACACCTCTGCATCCCTCCAAAGGGGCCCGGGGACACACTCCGCAAAGGACCTCCACACTTCACCCAGGATGGGGACATGCGGAGATGCTGAGAACATCTCCGGAAAACTGAACGGGGCTGTGAGCTGTAGTTCCATTAGGATGGTAAAGACTCGAATGCTTTTATTTGTTTCCCTCCTAAAACAAGGCAGTAGAAACAAAAGCCAGCCTCCTGCTGAGACCTGGGAGGAGAGCCTGGGAGGAGAGTTACGTGCACCTGAGTACACACTCACCCCCACACATACCACTTACAGGCACTGGGGCCAGCGCTGGTGTACGAACACGTGAAAACTCCTGCCTTGTTTCATGGACCCTCTGGGTAAAATGAAATGTCAAGTGTCTTACGGCATTTCATTCAGACTCTGTTGCTTCAGGCACTCGGTAGGAAATAGACTGTATTCGATGAATGAGTCCGTTTTTAAGCCTCGTGTACCACTGAACTGTCCTGTCTACAGGGAACACCATGAAAGACCCAGGATGAGGACAGAAGCCAGGCAATGCCGTGGCTGGTCCACCCGAAGTCACCGGGGACTTGCACGTGTCGCTGGCCCCTGCGCTCCACCGTGGTGAGACTCACCGAGGCCCCTCCAACTCCACGGGGTGTACGCATGAATGCAGCCAAGTGGGGAAGCTTGGGCTCTGCCATCAAAACTGTACGTCCAGCCCTGAGGTCCTGACCCTAGGGACCCACGTTGTACATGGGCACAGACTCTGTTCGACAAACATCTACAATCAGAGGGTCGTTTCTCCCACAGGAATCTGAGAATGTGCAGACGCATTCTAGGAAAAGTCAGTGACACAAACCTCCCCGCACGTGAGGGAGGTGGGCGAGCCCGTGTCCCCAGCTAGTGCACGCCCCGATCAGAGGTGAGCGGCCTAAGCACTGAGGACATGTCTGTTCTAGAGCAGCCACAGCCACCACTGTGGTGGTCACTCACGGTCAAAACACCACAGAGCAATGAAACAGGCTTCAAGACATGGTCACTGTGTTGATATTTCAATCAACCTACAAGCATTTATGAATACCAGCTGGGTGCCCAACATCACACCAGGTGCCCACGTGCACACATCACACCACATGCACAGGTCACACCAGGTGCACACATCACACCAGGTGCACACGTCACACCAGGGGCACACGTCACACCAGGGGCACACGTCACACCACGTGCCCACGTCACACCACGTGCCCACGTCACACCAGGTACCCACGTCACACCACGTGCCCATGTCACACCACGTGCCCACGTCACACCACGTGCCCACGTCACACCAGGTGCACACGTCACACCACGTGCACACGTCACACCACGTGCCCACGTCACACCAAGTGCCCACGTCACACCAGGTGCACACGTCACACCAGGTGCCCACGTCGCACCACGTGCCCACGTCGCACCACGTGCCCACGTCGCACCACGTGCACAAGTCACACCAAGTGCCCACGTCACACCACGTGCACAAGTCACACCAAGTGCCCACGTCACACCACGTGCCCACGTCACACCACGTGCACAAGTCACACCAAGTGCCCACATCACACCACGTGCACACGTCACACCATGTGCACAAGTCACACCAAGTGCCCACATCACACCATGTGCACACGTCACACCAGGTGCCCACGTCGCACCACGTGCCCACGTCACACCAGGTGCCCACGTCACACCGATGCATATGTGGGAGGAAGTTTGGCAGAGCGAGGAGACCCTGCACTGAGCACTGCTTTAGGCCAGCTGGGAAAATTCTCAGAGATTCATTTCCCTTTCTCATACTTGCCGAGACCCAATTGCTAGGCCTTCTGGAAGTACTTTCTACTGCATGGAAGGTTTAGAACGATTCGAGGACTTACTTGAGGAAGTTTTCAAGGTCATCTCGACTGCAGGAGGACCAGGAGAGGTCGCTGGGGTTCCGGCCTTTCACCCACTCTCCCGACATGATGTGGGACCTGCCGGCGCAGGACGAGTGGTCATCGTCATGGTTCATCCCCAAGCTGCCCGAAGGAAGGAAAAGGAGACAGGGACACTTACACTATAGACTTCTCATCTCTACTTCCAGTCTAGCACCTATTCTTAACTTCAGTCTTGAATACACAAGTGACAGGTGTGACACCTGGTCGGTACTCTGCTGTCCTCACAGTGCAGACCAATCGTCACGAGCTCCCAGGGAGCTAGAGGAGGGTGATGCTTTGCTTACTCAGTGAATGGAGACAGAGCCAAAGGCACGGCAGCATCTGCTAAACAACAAATGATACACGAACGAACACATTTCAGTCGGGCCGCGGTTCTCGGAGGCCTCCCATCTCCAACCATTGCTTTCTCGACCAAGTTGTTCCCGAAAAACACTGTCTCGGTTTTTGAGCAAAACATCGGTGGCTCCCAACCTGACCACCTTTCCTTTCATGTGGATACATCGGCATGACAAGTGTCTCTCGGGCCACAAAGCAGAGAATGTAGGTCAGTTGACCGCTAACCCTCTCACGTTGGCAATGTCTCAGGAAATTGTACTGTGAATATTTTCGTGGGCTTTTTTTTTTCTTTTCTTTTCCGCTTTTGCTGCTGGTGACACGGACAGTTAGCACAATTTTAAAACACAAAGAGGTCGTCAAGAGTGACGATGCTGCCAACCGTGTGAAAGGAACAATCACCACGGGCCATCGAAGAGGCTGGAGAAGCTGTTGCTCATTTGGATCAGCGAACAGCAGTCAGCCGGTGACAGCGTTTCGGGGGCAGGGACATGTGAAAAGCGAAGAGGCCACATCTCACCTCCTGAAAGACACCCTGGAATTAGGGCTGAAAGCAGCTCATGGAGGGCGAGCAGGGTGGTTCGATACATTTAAGAAGTGTTTGTTGCTCTGGCCGGTTTGGCTCAGCGGTTAGAGCGTCCGCCTGCCGTCCGGAGAGACCCGAGTTCGGTTCCCGCTAAGGGCATGTACCTCGGTTGCAGTTTGTCCCCGGCCCTGGTTGGTCGTGCGGGTGGCAGCCACTCGATGTATCCCTTTCACGTCGATGTTTCTCTCTCTTCCTCTCTCTCCCTCCCACTCTATCTGTACAAAAAATGGAAAAATGTCCTCGGATGAGGATAAAAAAAAAGAAGTGTTTGTCTATTGATTAAACAGTACATCGGACATGTACTGTATATAAGAAAGGTTAAAAGAGGGAATCATTCGGGGGTCTGAACAAATTCATTCCATTGACATTATTTCTAAGGGGAAAAAATGATTTCGGTTTGCAAACACACCGCTTCTCGAACAGCCTTCGGAACGAATTAAGTTCCAGAACCGAGGTTCCCCTGTGTATTAACTGTGATACTATCGTTCCTAAACTGTGAGTTTCCGATGATCAGGATTGCTTTTCAGCACTAAAATAAAATACCCCACAGTTCATGATCTACGTGTTTTGTTGCCTTAAAGAGATGCCACTCTGAAGGGCTGGTAGGAACCATGCAAGACTTCGATTTATAGGATGTCGTTGTGCAGAATCATCAAAAGGATTAAAAATGTGCCTCTCAGTCTTTCACATCAGCACCTGGGTCCACCAAGATCACACCTGTCGCTGCCCTGCCCAGAGGTACTGATAATGCCAGGATGCCCGTCTAGACATGGGTGACCGACCACGCGCTATATGCTGACCACTGACCTTAGTGACACACAGGCTGTCACTGGGGTAAACTGAGACACAGAACACACCAGGTCGGGCGGCCTGTGGCTTTAAGGGCAGAGACCTGATGTGCGAAAGAAACCCTTTTTTTTTTTTTTTTATCCTCACCTGAGGACATTTTTCCATTTTTTGTTCAGATAGAGCGGGAGGGAGAGAGAGGAAGGGAGAAAGAGAGAAACATCGATGTGAAAGGGACACATCGAGTGGCTGCCACCTGCACGACCAACCAGGGCCGGGGACCAACTGCAACCGAGGTACGTGCCCTTAGCGGGAACCGAACCCGGGTCTCTCTGGACCGCAGGCCGACGCTCCAACCGCTGAGCCAAACCGGCCAGGACAAGAAACCCTTCTTTATCAACAGCCCAGTAGGGGGAGAATCTTTCATGCATTAAAAAAATTTTTTTGTTTTGTTAATCCTTACTCAAAGATATTTTCCCACTGATTATCATAAAGAATGGAAAGGAGGGAGGGAGAAAGAGAGAGAGAAAGAGAGAGAACCATCGACTGGTTGCCTCCTGCACGACCCCGACAGGGGCCAGGGATCAAACCTGCAACCCAGGTACATGCTCTTGACCAGGAATAAAATCCGAGCCCCTCGGGTTCACCGGCTGATGCTCTAACCATTGAGCAACCGGCCAGGGCTAAAAATACTTATTAGCAGTTTCCCATGTGCCAGGGCTGGACTAGAAGACATAACGGTCCACAGCGCACCATCCCTGACTAGAGTTTTCCCGTCCTCTGTGGGCACAGCGCCTGGTGCTCCTGCTCCATCCGGAATCACCCACCCTGCACCCATCAGCTGAAGGCGGCTTACAGAGCATCCCCTTATTCACTCTCAAACCCACGCGTATCAGCAATGCCTGTTCCTGCAAGGCTAACCAAGCACCTCATCAAGTTCCAGTTTGCTGAACCGGGGCTGGGAGCCTCGATATTTGCGGTTCACATCAACTACCGTGGAGGCTATTTTTAGTTTACAGTAAGGACTACTTGACGGAGAAACTCATGTGAGTGTAGGTTTCTGTCCCAGGCCATGTATTACTGCTGGCAACATTGTATTTAACAGACAAGAGTAGTGTTAAGCACACACGGTAATTTTAACTTTTGGTGACTGTGGGATTAAGGACACAGACGGGCCTCTCATGTCACGTGTGGCCCAGAGATTCATCAGACACGATGCTAAGGGCCTGAGCTGATTTTATCTTGACACAAGTAACACGCCAGTTCTCCCTGGACTCCCAGCCTGGGTGTCCCTCTCCGAGCTTTGGGATTTGATGTCAGGGTTACAAAGCAGGTCCCCTCTCCTGAGTAGCCTTGCCTGAGTCTGTGACATGAACATATGGGGTGGGATGAGAGCCCAGGGAAATGGCTCCGGTGAGTGCCACCTCCCCGCACATACGGCGGCCAGCTCCGCGGCCCGGCCAGACCCCAGTTTTCTGAGAGTCCTGATGAAAATACGTGAACCGCCAATGAGGATGCTATAAAATCTCCTTCTTGCTCTGGCTGATTTGGCTCAGTGGTTAGAGCGTCGGCCTGCGGTCCAGAGAGACCCGGGTTCGGTTCCCGCTAAGGGCACTTACCTCGGTTGCAATTTGTCCCCGGCCCTGGTTAGGGTCGTGCGGGAGGCAGCCACTCAATGTGTCCCTTTCACATCGATGTTTCTCTCTCTCTCTCCCTCCCGCTCTATCTGAACACAAAATGGAAAAATGTCCTCGGGTGAGGATTAAAAAAAAAGTAATAATAAACAAACAAACAAACAAAATCTCCTTCTCACAGAGAAGCAGAGCGTGACATTTCTGAGTCCCGGCCGTGGCGTGAGGTCAGCCTGGATGAGAATCGCAGCCCTGCCTCGGAGAGACAATGTCATACCCGAGCCTGTTTCTCTTCTCCAACAAAATGGAGAGAATAATGCAGGCGACCTTTGACCTGAGGGCATTAAGGGTGCTGACCCCTGTGCAATCAAAAATCCGGATGTACATCTGACCCTCTCGAATTTATTTTAATCTATTAAAAAAAAAATGTTTATTTCTTTATTGATTTTTTAGAGAGAAAAGAAGGGAGAGAAAGAGAGAGATAGAAACATCGACGAGAGAGAACATGGATTGGCCACTTTCTGCATGCCCCCCACTGGGGATCGGGCCCACAACCTGGGCATGTGCCCTGACCGGTAATCAAACCAGCGACCTTTGGTGCAGGGTCGATGCTCCACCACTGAGCCACACCGGCCAGGCGACCCCCTTGAATGGAACTGCTAAGAGCCTACTGTTGACCAGCAGCCCTGCTGAGGACATAAACAGCCGATTCACACACAGTCTGTATATGTTCTATGCGCTGTGTTCTTACAACAAAGTAAGCTGAGGAAAGAAAATGTTACCAAGAAAATCGTAAGGTTCCTCCGTGAGTTTCCCAATTGTCGCAAATCTCCAAAAACTTTTTCAATCTCTATAATGAAAACAGTCCATGTGTTTAAGTGGAGCTGGGAAGTTCAAACCTGTGCTGAGTGTCATTCATTCACTCACTCATTCATTCATTCACTCACTCACTCATTCATTCATTCACTCACTCACTCATTCACTCACTCATTCATTCATTCATTCACTCACTCACTCATTCATTCACTCATTCATTCATTCACTCACTCACTCATTCACTCACTCACTCATTCATTCACTCACTCACTCATTCATTCATTCACTCACTCACTCATTCACTCACTCACTCATTCATTCATTCACTCACTCATTCATTCACTCATTCATTCATTTACTCACTCATTCATTCACTCATTCACTCAGTTATCTGTCAAATGCCTTCTATGACCAGACACTTTCCTGGGTGCTGGCCGGGCCAGGCCCCTGCTTCCATGGAGTTCATGTCCTAAAGGAACGGAGGTCAGGTTACAAGGGGCGGCAGGCACCACGGGGCCTGGCAAGAAGTGGGCTGGGGGCAGATGGCCTCTCCTCTTTCTTCCCAGTACACGCCCGAGTGAAGATGCTCAGCCCCAAGCTGCAAACGCGGATGCCCGTGGATGGCTGCAAAGCGGATGAGGGAGTGGGGAGAAGTCACGCACACGGGAAGGTGGGCTCATGGTGAACTGCCGTTCAAATGCCTCTAAATTCCATTTCAGCCACAGCGAGCTCAACGGGCAGATCCTGCCTGTTCTCGCGCATGCGGCCCAGGGCTGCGCATGGGACACCCCTGATTAGAAGCTTTCGGCAGGTGGTCAACTCCCCAGGCCTGCGGACACGCCCAGGAGCCCGAGGCACTGTGACCACTGGCCTGTGCCATGTGCTGCGGTTCACAGGAAGGGAACAGAGATGCCGGCCCCTGGCACAGC